TTTTAAGAGTTTAAGAGTTTTAAGAGTTTCTAAGAGTTTTAGCCAAATGCTTTATAATATAATATAGATAATTAAGTATTCTGTTAGAACTCAATGATTATTCTAATTAGATTTTAGATTTTTTATATTTAAAATAATATGTTTATCATGTATTTGATTATGTTTATCTGCAGTTAGTTACACGAATTCAGATATGAAGCTTTAATAAGTTGTACTTACGCACAATCTACTTGCAATATTGAGTTTTAAGTAATATGCATTAATAAACAATTTTTTACGCATAAAAAGTGGTTTTTAAGAGTTTTTATCAAATGCTTTATAATATAGTATAGATTATTTTTTTGATAAAATCGACGAATCCTGTTTATAATCACCAAAAAGTAAATTTCTATGTTGCGTGGAACTACAACTGTTGTTATTTGACAATGTATCGTATCGACTGAAATAATAAAATCTGATAAAAATAAGATTCTAACAAATTTTGAGCTTGTTTCTTGTTGATTGTAATGATGATTTGTTGTTTTCAATTTGTGTAACAAACGTTCAGTTATTCCAATTTCATACCTCAATTACCTGATAAACGGGTTTTCAACCTACGTGGCTTTAGCTTATTTTAATGTGGTATTTTTCCACGTAACCAAGAGTTACAAGGTCAAACTGCATCGAATTGCAACTAAGGTGGTGTTTTTTTTAAGAGGTGATGAAGTCTGATTTCACTTCTGATTTATAAGAGGTGGTCTGAAGTCTGAAATCTGGATCAGTAAAGTTGTTTGTTTTTACATCTGAAGTCTGAATCGATCAAACTAGCGCAAAAAGATAAATAGTTTTTTTTTTACAAAAATATAAAAGATAAACAGTTTTTGCTAACAAATTGCTTTCAGCCCGCAAAATAAGAACCATTTGATAGAGGACAGATTAGGATTAAGAGGTATTAAGGGATACGTTTACCACTTAAATTTCAGATGACATTTAGAGCTTTTAAGCTCTTATTTTAGAAATAAAACAAACGCTCTTAATATCCAAACGTATGAACGAATCAGACTTCAGAGGTATTAAGAGGTAATTTTGAAAAAACAAACAGACCCCATGTGTGGTATAACTCTTATTCAGTGTATCGATTTTTTTTCCCTCAATCCATGTAAAAAAGTTTTAAAAAAATTATTTTATATTTATTTTGACCTGTAACATGTTAATCTTGTATCATTTCGTGACGTGGATATTCGTTTACGAAAGGTATGTGGATTATTTACGAAAGTATTACGACGAAGTGGACGATAAACTTAACATCCATGTCATCAAATACTACATTAAATATGAAACTTTTTTATGTTGCTTGAGAAAACTAGAAACTTTGTTGCATTGCTTGAGAATAATTTTGTTACAGTAAATGGAAGGTCAGACAAATTTCGTTACATTATGATGTATTTTGCCATTAACAATATAACTTAATAAAATTTGGGATAAAAGACTCGAACACAGTACCTCACATACAAAAAGCAGAAAATTAGTCACCAGATCAGTGATGAATTTGTAAAAAATACCATACCTTCACTTCGTATATCAAATGGTGCCACCACTTAGAAAAATTAGGTCTGTTTATGTGTTTTAAACCGACCAACCCATATTGTTTGAGTTGGGCTATATTTTAATAGACTTTGAAAAGGTTTGAGATTATTTAAACCGTAATTATTGGGTTGAGTTTTTCAAATATTTTCTAATCATCAACCCAACCCGTGTGCATCATGTTCGATTGGTCGACTGTTGCACAGGGGCGGACCCAAATTTTTTTTCAAACGGTGGCATCATTTGACTATAAGAAAAAAATTCAAACAGTGTCATCGTTTGATTATAAGAAACAAAATATACGGAATTTTTTTCAATCGGTGACACTATTTAACTAAGAAAATGACACTAACAAGATTCGAACTTGGGTCTGGGGTAAAATAAAAACTTTGCAAACCAACTCTACCAAATAAAACTTGTTCTCGTTGTAGTTTCAAAATACATACGGTGGCACACAACAGATTAATACGGTTGCACATTTCACGAATCTAATTATTTTACCCTTCGACGGAGAAATAAGACGGTTGCATCCGTCCATCGATTTGCATTTGACAATTGGCCATTCCGGGCCATAAAAGGCATTGGACGGGTCGGGTGGGGGTAAAATGACCCGAGGAAGGTCATGGCGTTATCGTTGTTGACTTGAAATGAAAACCCGCCAACGGAAGTTTCTCTATTTGCCTCTTGTCCGCACCCAATTCTCCATAATATAATATTAATAAGAATCAATCGACAGCAATCACTTAATTCCGAAGATCGGATTCAATTCCTTGTTCTTTAAGTGTTATTGGATCGTAATTCGTTGCATATACATATAGCTTGAGGGGGGAAACCCCTGATCCGTGAAAAAAAGGAAAATTATTCGAGTTCTAGGGTTTTCTATCACCGAATATGGCGCAGAATCAAGGTGGTGCAGGTGGTGGTGGGTTCTTTTCGTCGATCGCGTCAAGTTTTTCCAGTTTTAAGGAGCATGTTAACGGGTGAATGATTTTGGATCCTTCTCCTTCTTTTGTCGTAGTAATTGCCCCAAAATTGAGATCGGTCCATGATCTGCTTGTTATTTTTGTTGGTTCTTACTCTAATTTCGGAAAATTTTCAGCGTGAGAATTTTGGGCTTAATTGTGCATGTTTGATTTGTTTCGAAGTTTTCCGTTTATGATTATTGTTCTACAGCACTTGATTGATTAGGTTTTAGCTTTAATTTATAAAATAATTTATATTTTCGTTTATGATCAATGCTCCAGAAGCTTAGGATTGTTATTCCAGGAGTAAAATTGTTACGTGTGCAACTAAACTTCCCTTTTGAAGCTTATTAACTGAGAGTGGTTGCATGAAATAATAATGTGACTCCTATTTAGACATTGTTTCATAATAACACAGTTCGCATCCATAGGTCTCCAGACCCTTTAAACATACATGTTGACTTCATATGGATCATCATTGAAATCTTTTACATGACATGGTTTTATTATTATTTTGAAAGATTTAAAGCTTGGATATTGTTGGTGCATTGTGGTATTTTGTAAAATCTGACATTTTTTCCTTGTTCTGGCTGGTTCTAAACTAGTTATATCAGACCTGTATCCGGAATGGGTTCCTTTGACCACAACTACAAAAGTAGTGTTTTTAGTCTTGGGATGGAGGGTGTTTTTATGGGATCTCTACGGTGTGAATATTATGTAGATTAAATTTCATGACTCCGTAATTCAAAAAGATTCTTCCCTCCCAAATCCTTTTTTGGTAATAATTATCTTTGGTTCTGTTAGCAAAAACAGTAAAACTATCAAATTCTAGCTGGTGAGCAATATGTCTTAGGGGTCGTTTACCCAAATGCTTACCCTGTAAGCGCTTACCAATAGGAGTCAACACTATAATTTATTTTGATGCGTAAGATTTTAGTACATCAAAACATATCGAATGCAACGATTTTACTGGGTAAGTGCTTACCTTGGTAAGAGTCGCCATCCTCACTTACCGGGTAAGACTCTCCATCTTTCTCATCGCTCTTWCCCGGTAAGATTCTTGGCCCTTCTCATGTTCATCCGATGAGGAAATTTATACGTTAAGCACTTACCAAATAAGTGTTTAGTAAACGGCACCTTAGACTTTTATGAAGTAAAATGTAATTACCCTGCTGTTACATGTGTGTTCACTGGTTATAGAATGTTAGATTCTAGCATAGCTATATGTTCTAATGAACATTTTTATCCCTTTGCTTATGCAAGAACCCAGTGTCTTAAAAAAGCAGAACGTATATTGAAGCTGAATTACAGTGATAAATTTGTAATGTCTGCTGCAAGTGTATCTCCTAGTATTTTATGTCCATCATGGTTAAGAATTATATGGAGAATCTTTCACTTTGCATGATTGCATCAGCTGTCAACGTGTACGCTAGTCTGGATTAATTTACTGCCACTATGAAAAAGTTGCATGCTTTTAATTTAATTGGTTTGGCTCTAAATATTTTCATAAACAGAAAAGTTCACAAAAGAATGATGTTATTTCCATGAAGTTTGTGTCTAATTCTATCCCAACCTATTACACTTAACCTTGATTTAGTGTATTTGTTTGGTGTCTGTCTTTGCTGTTGTGAACACATGCTATGTTGTAAGTTATATGTATCAATGCTTGGTGCACCATCTTGAGTTGTGAAGATACAATATAATTTTTATTGTTAAGCATGTCCTGAATTTTTTGTATCTACTTGTCTTGGTTATTGTCTTCTTTAGCTTGCTTGGTTATGAGGGGCTTGAAGTTATTGATCCTGAGGGAAAAGGCACAGAAGATGCTGAGATTGAAGCAGAAAGAGGCCGATGGAAGGGGGAGGTGCAGTAAATTATTTATCTGTTATATTTTTCAGTCGCACCATTTTGGTCCTTATAGCCTGCTTCTTCAAAAGTTCTTTTTTCTTTTTATTGCATGTATTTCCCATCATATTGCGGTTTATTGTTTCTGCTCATAGGCTCATGCACACGCGTGTTCCATGAATGGAAAATATAGAATTTGGTTTACAAGACATAAGAGAAAACGGCAGCTTTTGTGTTAAATATTATATGCGTTAATTTGGCGTAGATACCCCATTGCAGTTTTGGTTTCACATAATACTGAAATTTAGAAGGGGTGTGATCCTAAAACATGGCATTGATGGAAAGAGATGGAAACCTCTTCAGGAGGAGGGACTGACTTGTATAATCTCCTATGTGGTTTTCTATTGTGTATTTTCTAGGCATGTGGTTCTTCCATGAGTTTGTGCCGCTTGCCCTAAATTAATTCAATAGTCGTAGAGTTTTGGAAAATCATGCCATTACTTACAATGGCGATCTTTTAAGGCTGAATTATGTTTGTGTTTTAGCACCTCATACTCATAGTTATCAACATCAAAATTTTGAAACCCTCTTCAATTTTGCCATTTTATCATATACTACTTTCTTGAATGCTTATCTCCTGTTAGCTTGGGATGAGACACTTGGTTGCTTTTGATGGAAAAATGAGAATAGCTGCATTTATGTTTCATCTTGAGTGGACTGTCAAATGTTCAGTAAAATTACTGTATGTCATGTCACGGCTATCTTTTAGTTACGGCATTTATTGTTATTTATCTTTTTTCTCCAGGAGCGTGACAGTTACTGGAGATCGATGCAGAAGTATGTGGGTGCTGATATCACATCTATGGTGACTCTACCGGTACTCATTTTTGAGCCCATGACGATGCTGCAGAAAATGGCAGAGGTTTGTCCAACTTCACAAATATGTTCTATCATGCTGCTTGTATAATAGTTATTACCAAGACGCCGTTATTATTTTTGTAGTTGATGGAATATTCCCAACTTTTGGAGCAAGCTGATAATTGTGAGGATCCATACATGCGATTAGTATATACAGGTAAGAACCCTTTCTCCTCTCTTACACACATAGACACACACTACACGCTCCTCTCCTTATATAATAAGTATATCTTGCTATTGCTTATCTCATGTCTATCTGGGCATGAGTGTGCCATATAAACATGCAAAAGCATGAAATCTATGGTGATAATGGTGGTTTTCTATTACAGCATCCTGGTTTATATCAGTATATAACGCTTTGCAACGAACCTGGAAGCCGTTCAATCCAATTCTTGGTGAAACCTATGAAATGGTTAATCATTGTGGCATTACATTTATTGCAGAGCAGGTGAAACTTTGAAGATCATTTGTACTCTAAAATGACTTCTAATTTCTTTTTGGATTTGAAGTAGTACATGTCTGTTCTGCATTTCTTTTTTACTTTGATTCATCCACTAGGGGTGGGAGGGATGTGGGTGGCACTAGGATGAAAGCAACTTGTTGACAATTTTTACTTCCTTCCAGTCCATACTTGTTGACGGCTTTCATGTCCTTCCAAGTCAAACTTGTATAAAGGGTCAATTTTTTGTCCTCCGTTATTCCTACCTGGCAAAGTCCAATAACTTAAGAATGCTCAGCTGATATATTATCAAAATAGTGACATTTATCTTCACAAAGATTATTACTTTTAAGAATCTTTCTGTACCCCTACTGTGTTGCTTGTGATAAACTTTCAGTTTATACATATATAATGTCAAGAAATGACTTATACTTTAATCTAAACCAGGTTAGTCATCACCCTCCCATAAGTGCTGCACATGCTGAAAATGAGCATTTTGTGTATGATATAACTTCAAAGGTGAAGACTAAGTTTCTTGGCAACTCTCTTGATGTCTATCCTCTTGGAAGGTAAATAGCTCTGCCATGATTTCTCAAGTTCCATTGCATATGATGATTGCATTTCTGAAGTTCTGGGATTGGATAGGTTTTTATGCTCTTCAAATTATTTCTTTATTTACTTGCTATACTTGACATTTAGAAGACCACACCAGTGTACAGAAAAATTAATCTGTGAGAATTCATTTTTTGAGTTACAAGTCATTTACGATGTGTAATACGAAAATTCAGAGAGTAGTTAGCCTTAACCGTTGAGTATGTAGCAAAGATACAAATGTGTGATACGTGGATATTGTGATATGATGATACTAAGAAAAAATTGAGTACATCCGGCACATTTATATATGTGTCATACTCATACGTACAGAGAAGTCTAGACACAAACTGATAAAAGAAAAAACTTATCTCATAATACATGAACAAACACGTACTTAAGCAAGTCTTATCTTCACCATATTTTTTACTTGTGTCCATATTAGTTTAGAGAAAAAAGAAATCATTTGCGTCGTCTTCCCTCCTTTTTTATCTCGCAAGGCATCAGACATGAGTTTTACTTTATATTTTAGCTTAATTTTTGATCTTTTGGTGAATTTTCAGCCTCCATTTTTCTTAAAAAGGACCAAATTGCGCTTCTTTTGTTTCACCATATTCTAGAACACAATTTGGGTGCACCCTCAAGCACCTGAATTGGGAATTCAGAAAGGGACCTGCGTCCTAGCTTTCACTGACGCATATTTATATATATACTTTTTGTTTTCTATTCAATATGAGCGATAATAAAACCTATATGTATGACATACACATTTAAAATATTTTTGTTTTGCTGATCTACAGTATGCTGCGATATAATCATGCAACAAGACTGGTATACTATTTTCACGTGGATTTGTGCTTACACTTGTGCAAGTCTTGATGGAGCTTCCTTATCTTGAACGTAACTTACTGGATGAAATACGTGTGTATAATCATATCATTTCTTGTATGTGTAGTAATTACTTTATAATATTTAAAAATTTAAGAGCATTACATGCCATTATTTTTGCAGAGGGGTTTGTAGGTAGCAAGGGCTTCGCTTTGAAATGAGAGTGCCATGAGAAAAAAGATCTGAAAATAGAATAGAAGAGAAAAAAGAAAATCTGAAAAAAAGAAACTTTATGGCGAGCTTTGGGCTTTCCCTATATCAGTTTTCTATTGCCACTCCACGTAAACATAGATGTTAGCAGTTGAATATCCAAACTGTTGTCAGAAGAGAAACCTGGGACTTGAAACTGTATTATTGTTGCTCATTTTCTTGTGATCTTGCTTGCAGAACGCGTTTGAAGCTAAAGAAAGATGGAGTGATCCTAGAACTAGTACCCCCTCCCACGAAAGTTAACAATTTAATATTTGGAAGGACATGGATTGATTCCCCAGGGGAGATGGTTTTGACCAACTTGACCACAGGAGACAAGGTTGTCCTGTACTTCCAACCCTGTGGTTGGTTCGGGTGCGCACTTCTCACTTCTTCATTGTGCCTTTTCTATTTCTTACATATTATGTTTGTCCTTCGTGTGTATTTATGGTACAGTTCCTTCGTGTGTGTGTACATATATATTATGCTTTAGCAAGGTGCATTGTCCGATCCCCCTATATAACTTTGTATTCATTTTCTTTTTGGCAGGAATGCTACTATGAAACTAATTCCTTCACATATTTAATTAAGGAAAATTGCATGAAAATGCAACGTACTTTGGCCCGCTTTCTATTTTGTGTAGCATACTTTGGTTTAAATGTTTGAGATCACACATCTAAGGTACCAATATGAAGGTTCTGAAAGTACGTTGCACTTAATAGGGATCAGAGCAAAATACGTTACATTTTCATGCAATTTGTGTAGATTACTTTGGTCTAAATGTTTGAGATATCACATCTAAGGTACCAATATGAAAGTTCTGAAAGTATGTTGCATTTAATAGGAATGATACGAAAGTACGTTGGATTTTCATGCAATTTGCCTTTTACATATCTACCTTGTGGTGCTTTTTGTACTTGAAACTTTAGGCATGTTTTTACGTGGTTGCAGTGCTGGTCGTTATGAAGTGGATGGATATGTATATAACTCCGATGAAGATCCTAAGATACTAATGACTGGCAAATGGAACGAGTCCATGAGCTATCAGCCTTGTGATTTGGAAGGGGAACCCCTTGAGGACACTGACCTGAAAGAGGTTAGATTCGTTGCCACCTTTTCATAATGACGTTCTGTCTTATCACTGCAAATGTTTTAACATTACGAAGGATAGAAAGAATGTTTTAGGATCTTTTCTAGAGCCTTACTTAGATAGAGAGTTGTTTTAGTTTTTCCTACGTAGCTTGTCCTATTTATAGGAGTCTTAGTTTTTCATGTTTTTACTTGATGTCAGTCTTTGTTTTTCTTCCTGCTCATCCTACCCTCTGACCCTATATTTGTGTGGTATAGAATGGATTTGTTTGGTACACCATATGTAATGTCATGTTTCGCCATGTCTAGAAATTGAATTCCTACCAGAAGGACCGTTTGATAATTGCTACATGGAACATGTTTAAGGTGTAAATTGCATTTGTTGCTTTTGTTCTGCTTGTTTTTCTTCAAATTACAAAGATTTTGTTAATAAATTCACTTGGTTGGGATCTGGTCAGGAATCATGCAACTAACATTTGCTGCTTGAAAGTTATGTTAGATGCTACCAACAATCATGCTTATTTATACATAGCTAATTAAGATAGTTTTGTGTTCATTATTTTATCCTAGTTGTGTACCCTTGCGAGTGGGATGTAAAGCTTTATTGTAAACTGAGAATGAAAAGTAATACAATTTTATTTGTGTGCATAAAGAAGTAGCTAAAGATGTTAAATTGTTTTAATATTATTTTTTTTGAAAAAAGGGTCAATGGTGAGAGAGGGTTTCTAAAACCCATGCACCTTCCGTTCATAACTCTTAATGCATTAGTGATTTGTACTTATCGTCTTAATGGATATTGTACTCTTGAAATTTAACAGTTTTGCCTAAATGTTCTATAAGATAGTATAGATTTGGATGATGAGAAAAAATAACATGTGAACTTCTGGTGCAAACCACTATTATTTGGGGTGGAGGGCAAGTCTGCATACATTTTATCCCTCAGACCATACTTCCGAGTGGGAGATATCCAGTGTTTTTGGTTTGGTTTTTTCGATGACAATGACTTTGAAAATTGCATTGGCATGGCCAATTGTTATGCTTAGGCTGCTCCTATAAGCTAATTAACAATTAAAAAACACTTGGGATGAAGAAGTCAAAAGCAACTAATGTGATGATGGTGTTTTGAAGGTTTGGAGAGTTGCTGAGGCCCCTGAAGATGACAAATTTCAGTACACATATTTTGCACATAAAGTTAACAGTTTTGATACAGCACCAAAGAAGTTATTGGCATCGGATTCTCGCTTACGGCCAGATAGATATGCACTTGAAATGGGTGACCTATCTAAAGCTGGTTCAGAAAAGAGCATGTATGTCCCTTTCTCTCTCTCTCTCTTCTTCTCCCTCCTTCTCTCTCTTACATATTGTGGAGCATGGGACTATATCTAGTAAAACACAAGGTATGGAGATCCATAACTTCTAATTTGTTGGGCTTATGCGGTTAATGGTTTGTTATTTGCTTCTTTCTTTTTCTGAAAGTGGTATCGATAACCCAAAGACGCCATTAATCCACGTGGAATAGGCCCACCGCCACACAGTCCTAGAACCAGCAAAGCCCTCCTTACGTGAGGCTGGTGTGGCACACGAGGGTTTTCGCACCCAATGGGAATTGAACTTGGGAGTAAGAGGAACTACCTTTTTATTGGCCCAGGGATTGCCATCAAGCTAAGCCCTTGTGGTTTTTTTTTTTTTTTGAAGTATATGATATTTTATATTCAGAAAACTCGCATTAACCTCACGTTTGGTGATGTTTGAACCCTTGACCTCCAGAAAGGTTACCTCTACTGGTAACCCTGGTACCGCTGGGGCAATGACCCTTGGGGCTTGCTTCCTTTCATGTGCGAGTTTAACCCAATGGTTATCCTTTTCCCCTGTTACCTTTATGATGAGTCATTTGGGTAAATGATCTTCTGACAAGTTTTTTTCAAGTCCACGACCTTCTGTTAGTTTTGTGAATGCCTTTTGCTGAAGAGAGGAATGCGTAAAATCTTGTTAGAAGGTCATGGATTTAAAAAGGGTCATGTAGGGACATGACCTTAAATGAATTTTGTTTAATTAAATTCATGACCTCCTGACCTATAAAAGAAAAAATGGCTTCGTACTCATGAGAAGGCTATGGATTTTATTAAAATTTCATTCCTTATTTAAAAAAGACACTGTCCGGAGGTCATTTAGCTAAATAACCCCCCTCCTTTACGATCCAAAACTGATCAGACGAAAACGGGTCAACCGTTAAATGTTTTGACCTAATGATTTTTTGCTTGTTCTTTATCCCAGTCTGGAGGAGAAACAGAGAGCCGAGAAAAGGATTCGGGAGTCGAGGAATCAGGAATTCATTCCAAAATGGTTTGACATGACGGATCAAATTGCTCCGACACCGTGGGGTGATTTGGAGATCTATGAGTACAACGGGCAATATGCAAAACACCGAGCTGCTGCTGATAAGTCGAGCAGTGTTGAACAGGTTAATATCGAAACAATGGAATTCAACCCGTGGCAATTCGGAAACATAACCGAAAGCGAGTGAAGGAAGGAAAAGATTCTTTAATTCTTGACATAAATCACATGTTTGAATCATAAGAAGACTCTTATTATATTAAAAAAGAAATGGTTTGGTTTGATGAGTTGAGTTGTAGAGGTAAAAGGACCTGATATTTGTTATCTTGATTAGTAATTTGTACAAGTCAAGATTGCAGGATCATAAAAGAGTTGTTGATTGTTTTGTTGAATCCAAACCGGTTTGAACCGTTTTTGGGATTTCAAAATCTGCTTTGGCACTTCTATCTACATTTTATAATACTTGTTAATTATTAAATTAAATTAAAAAAATTCCATTTTCCACTTGAGAGAGATGATAAAAAATGGGTTCCAAATCCATCTTTTCAGAACCGGGCTGCCTGTCACGACCAAATTCCAGAAACGGTTTTTTTGCCCGTAACCCGTCCTAGTCACAAATTCGGTCCTGTTTCTGTTTAACCTTTTTTACATAAATGTCATATATGTTGTTATAATTATGGATTTAAGGAGTTATTATTAGAATACATAAGTGTTTTCATTGTCATCTCTACAAACTAGCTTTTTAAAACAAATAATATTTTATTGTTAATTATGTTTTTTTTTTAATAATATTTTAACATGATCTTTCAAATTAATTTACATGATTATTACTTCTATCTAGATACTTTGAATCACCACCGGTCTGTTTTCATAAAACCCATAAGATCATTTTTTTACGTTTGAAACTTAACAACAAAACGCTGTAAAGATAACCTTCACAATGTTTATTGTAAAAGTTCGGCCTTTTTTTACCTTGATAGCGTTTTACTGTAAAGTTCATATGTAAAAAAATGGTCTAACAAATTTCACGAAAACAAGCTGGTCTCACATGAACCCAACCTTTTACCTATATCATTACCATTTTATTAACAAGTTTACAACTAAGTTATATGAGTTTAGAACCAACTTGTCAAAAGATAATCTAGTTTCTCCGCAAATCTATATACCAAATTAGACTCTTATTAGATCATGATTTCGAGTTTTAACCCTCTATGTTAGTTACGTGAATGTAGCGATACCAATATTCACCTTGTACGTAAATCACGACACAGAATTTGGGGTTCAAAACACATCATTTCAATTGGAACATATGCAAGAAAATTTTAAATATAATCGCAAGAATTGCTGCTAAATTCGATCACGAAACAAAATGATATCACGACACTCAAAAAATATTAAAATTGAAGCTTCTAATCGAATAAGCTGAATCCCATGTCATCGTCACTCTCTTCCTTTGGTTCTTCCTGTGTTTGTTTTTAAATAAAAAATTAACCAAATTAGTGATAAAAAAACTAAGTGAAATTTTTGTATCAAGTGATCAAAAACAAAGGAAATAACAAAATTACCTTCTTCTCCTCTGGAGCAGGGGCGGCAGCAGCAACTGCACCACCGGCAGCAGGGGCGGCAACAGCTGGGGCAGCACCACCACCACCAGCACCAACGTTCACAATGAGATCCTCAATGTTTTTCTTCTCTGCAAGCTTGGCAAACAAGCCTGGCCAGTAAGATTCGCAGTTCACGTTGGCAGCCTTCAAAAGGGTAGCAATCTTCTCAGACTGCACTAACAAAATTAGTTAATAAATAACCACAATTTGTGCCACATCAATGAAAAAGTGTTTGATGAAACATTAGCAATTATATCACATATCACTGTAATGGCCATTAATAATTACCAAAATCATACTGTTTTGTTCATGTTGATGAATAACCCCAGAATATACGTCACAACATTTGTCATGAATAACACATGAATAGATGGTTTCTAGGTTCTCAAAATATCTGCGGTTCTCATTTAAAGCTACCTCAATAGGTCATACTCCAGAAGCCCCTACTATCTTGCCAATAGATCACTAACAAAGCTTCTTTTAAACAAGTGGGTAGCCAAATATGTATAGGAACCTGATCCAGGATGAGTAGTCCAGGTAATAGAGCAACGAGAACAAGATAAGATGATAAGACACAGAATCCTCATGTAGACTAGCCCCATCGTAATTCAATTCAATCGTTGGTTTAATTTTAGGGTATGGAGATTTGGGATTGCAAGTAAAGAATCAAGATAAGCAAAGATACAACAAAGTTGGGAAGATGTTGTGGCTCAAAAAGTGAAAAGATTCAGGATGGGCAGCAAGAATTGTGAAAAAGATCAACAGTGCTCAACTGGTTTTTATGTTTAATTGATGCTTAGTCTGTTTAGCTTAAAAGAAGTCTATCTAACCACTGCAATATTTTAGTTGTATTTCCATGTCATGGTTGCAGGTGTTTAATGAGCCCAATGGCAGAAAATCTTTTAACATTGACCATTGTTATTCTTAATATATTACAAAATGCTTATGTGTACAAATTAGCATGCAAAGTATGCAAACACTGGACCAAACGATTGAAAGTATAATTGAAAAAATAATGAAAATTAACAGAAATTTCCCCGTTTATTTAGTCATAAATGAAATGCCCCAAACCAAAAACACAACAATTTAGAAATGAAAACCTACTTCACTGACATTTTATACCAAAAAAGGACCATTTTATTGTTATTTTTCTCGTTACCCTATCAATAGCATCGTATTCCTATCTAATAATTATAACATCATGATGTTTTCTAAACCACCTTCCTTTTAACGAAGTTGAGAAAAAGGTTGGTTAATTTGTATGTGAGGAAATAATCCAAAAAAGCTATCTATATACAAAAAAAAAATAAAAAAAATAACAGAGTTTGTGGATAAAATTCATGAAAGGTTGCACAAAATTCTGTCAAATACTCGTACATTAAGCACAAAACCTAAAAGAACCATACACAGACGAAAACAAAATCAAGTATTCATGAACATATATTAAAGTAGTAAAAAATGAGTACCGTGATGGGGATGCCATCGTCGCTGAGAATCAAACATGCGTAAGAGCAGGCAAGCTCCGCGATCGACATTCTTCTCTGTAACGAAAACACAAATAAAATTTTAAAACCTTCAGATTTAATCAGTAGAAAACCCTAGCAACAAAAACACACATACAAATACAACTACGAATCGAAACGGTGGTTCATCAAGATAAAAGAAACGATCAGAAGCGAAGTAGAATGACGACGGTACCTTTGATGACTAACAAACAAAGAAATTCCTTCTGCAGCTTGTGAGCAATGGAAGAAACCCTAGGGTTTCTGAGGGTTTAAAATGGGATCAAGAAAGACCCACAAACTATGGGCCTATTTATATGTGTATTGGGCCTATTTACAAAGTTTCTCTTTGTGATTTATTTATTTATGCAAAATAAATTCATTTATATCTACTATATTATAAAACATTTGAGAAAAATTCTTAAAAATTATTTTTTATGCTTGAAAAACTGTTTATTGATGCATATTACTTAATAATCAAGATCATCAGTAAATTTTACGTATTAAAGTTTAATATTTGAATTCGTGTAACTAACTACATATAAACATAATCAAATAGAGGATAAATATCTTATTTTAAAAATAAAATATTTAAAATATAATTAGGATAATCGTTCTAACAAAATACTTAATTATTATTTTTATTAAAAATTATATCATTAAACCAAAAAAATAAATTAAAGAAATACACAAAAAAAAAAAAAAAAAAATTTAAAGTCATTTTGGTACTAATATTAATATTTTTTTTCAATTTTTATAACATCGACCGGATATAAAAAAAATAAACATTAAAATGGAGATGTATCTCGCTGCATTGTAAGAGTACCCTTCTAGTTATAATAAAAGGATACTCGCGTAATGGAGTAAAATACATATCGATTTTAATGTTTTATTTTATTCTTTGTTTCTGTTAGTGTTATAATACGGGTTTATATGATTTTAAGAAAAAACAATAATATTTTTATTTTTGAAAAAAAAAACATTAATATTAATAACAAATGAACTATTTAAAAAATTTAGTTTTTTTATAT